AAACCTTGAGAAATGAAATCCTTCACATTTCTGATATCTTTGATAAAAAGAAAAGGTTTACTTTGAATAAGAACTGATTAATATGAAAAATAAACTTCAAACCCCCTAATTTTGTCGCTTCAGCTTTAGGTACCTTTTGCAACATGTCACTAATTACGTTATGTCACGGCACAGCCCGAACCCTGCAGACAGCAAGGAGTGGCCGCCCCTTTAAGAGACCTAGCTGAGTTTGAACTCTTTCTTCTGCTTTCTGACCCATTGCCTGGGTTAAGCAGTGCTGATCCACCTGCAGCCCTTTTTCAATTAGGGTCAACTGCACCTAATTAGCAGGCTGTAAAAGCCAGCCCTGCGTGAGACCTAGTATCTGGTCATTTTGCCTGTTTGGTGTTTCCTGCCGGATCTTTGATTTGCTACTGACTGATTTCCTGGACTCTGACCTCTGCCTGCTTTACCGACTACGTTACTCCGCTGCCAGCCCTGACTTCTGCTTCTCATCTGACCCTGCCTTTGGATTTCCCCTTATTCTGTACTGTGTTTTGGATTTTGCCTCCTTGCTGTGCCATCTCCTGGTAAACTGTTACATATTCCCCAGGTGACTGTTACTCTGACAGAGGAAAGAGCAGATTCTGTGTGCCATTTTGCAATCTCTGATTGTGGATTGTATATTTGTCCGTATCATCAAATACTCAGAAAGGGAATATGTATTGGAAAAATACTTCTGAACTGTAACTTGACCCAGATTATCTGTTTTCTTTTAAATTGATATAAACATTTAGCAAGTTACACCACAATCCAGTTCATTAGCAAATTACATCACAATCCAGTTCACTCTTCGTCAACAGTTAAAATGGGAAGTAGAAATCGATACAATGTTTCATCCTTTCCCTGATTGCTTTTCTTCTCCATGCTGACTGCCAGATGCAAATGAAAGCGCTTATAACAACGACTGACAGGGAGCGAAGATGGAGGTGCCCAATTGCCACATGAAGAGGTGTTAATTTTAACATTTTAATTTATTTTTCACACCTCGTAAATACTTATTAGTTATGTATAAGAACTAGGAAAACATGATATTAAAAATCCTTGGAAATGACAGTTGTCCCTTTAATTCTCTTTATATAACAAATAAGTGTCTTTATAATTTTACTAAACACAAAAGCTATCTGGAATTTGTATTTTCTTCTATTCCTATAGGTCTTCCCTTCAGTTATGATTTTCTGTTATGTTTTGTTGCATTCCTTATTTTTCCATAATCATGTTAATAGTATTCACAAGATGATCCTAAATCCATAGTGACAGCAATTGGATTCTAAATGCATTTATCATTAAAATTTTGAAAATCTCACCAGTTGACACCATCTGCTTCCACCCACGCAAAGCGATATTCATTAACGCGGAGCATCAGCTGTAGGCATCCAGCAACACACTGCACATACTGGGAACTCTGAAAAAGTAAGCATTAAACAGTGTGTGAAATAAATAAAAATATATTGCTAATATTTAGGGAGTTTGATTTAAAAAAAAAAAAAAAATTACATTAAAAAAAGAAAAAGTTTAATCTGGATTCTAAAACTCAAGGGAAAGTGTAAAGCACTACAGAAAGTGGCTCGAAGCTCTATCTATTAAGAGAAAGAAAATTGGTGATTGAATTACCCACTCAGACATACTGCTGAGAGAAGAAAAAAGTTATAACATGAATTTATCTTTACCCCCCAAGATTGGAATAAGAATTAAAGTAGAACTATATCCCATGGCAGCAATCTCCCAGACGTTCCTCTCAAGTGTCACAATATTATGTGCGCATTTCTGTTCTGAATCCTTTAAGACCTAGATTTTTCCTTATATGGAGTTACCAGATGTACTTGGCATTTTACAGGTCACATTACGGTAGAGCAGAGAGTTCAGTATGTGCAGGACACAGTTAACAGAAGGGACAAATGAAACCATAACCATAACACTGACAGGAGGTCAAATCCCTATAGACTTAACCATAAATGAGAGGAAGAGATAGTAAATGTGAATTATTGTTTTGAAATAAATAATGAAAAAAAATGTAAAAAGCATTTTATTGTGAATTTGAAGTTGCAGTAAGTCAGGGCTTATTAATTGTTATGAGGAAGGTTTTAAGTCAAGCACACAGAGGATTCATCAGAATATAGTAAAATTTTAAGCCTTTTAGCACTGCCAAACTGAAATGTGTTCCTGTGTTCAACTTATCATTGCAGCTCATTCAGCAAGACTAAATTATCACTCATAATTGGTCACCATGGATGTCAAAACCTGTTACTACTCACTATGAATGGTGAAGACGGAAGGATGGAGGTCAGGCCTGATGAGTGTAAAGAGCACAGTCCTGGATGAAACACAGAGCATCCACAGGTACATCACAAAGATGGATCCCAGAGATGTACTGCTAAGGGAATGTCTCTGAGACATCAACAGATAGAGGAGATTCCTTGGCAAGACAAACTTCTCCATAGGGTGTACTACTGACAGACAGTGGATGTGGCTCACATTACAAAATCCTACCGGTGGTTGGAAAAGGTAGGACTGAGAGACAGCACTGAGGCACTAATCCTATGAGCACAGGAACAGGCACTTAGCAGCAGCTCAATAGAAGCAAGTGTCTACTATAGCAGGCAAGGCACAAGGTGCAGACTGGGCAAATAGGCCTCTGAGACAATCCAGCACATAGTAGCTAGGTGCAAGATATTAGCAGGGACAGCATACACGGAGAGGCACAACCAAATTGCTGGGATTATGTTTTGAAACATCTATACAGAATATGGGCTGGGCCTGTGAGTCTAGACAGCAGACACTACACAGGGTAGAAAGAATAGAATGACATGGTTAAGATGCTATGGGCCAACCAACCTGACATTGTGGTGGAAGTCAAGGAACGGAACACTGCAGTGGTGGTTGATGTGGCAATACCAAGTGACAATAACATTAGGAAGAAGAAACATGAGAAGGTGGACAAATACCAAATGACTGAAAGAGATGCTAGAAAGGATTTGCAAAGTGGAGGCAGTAGTAGTCCCAGTTGTGATTGGAGCACTCCAGGCTTTGAGCATCTGAGATCTCTGTCCAGAAGAGTGCTTCTAAGAACTTATAAGAGTTGTTCTAAGATCAGCTAAGATACTGTGCAGAACCCTCAGACTCCCAGGTCTCTAAAGGATCCCAGAATGAGGAATACACAAACAATATGTACCACCGGGTAGGTGTGAGAAAAAAAAAAACCCTTGTCCTGTCCTGCCCCTCCTACAAAACCTCTGTCCTGTCCCTTCTACAAATCCTGTACTGCCTCGTCTACAAAACCCCCGCAACCCCCTTCCACAAATCCCCTGCTTATCCCCCCTTATAAAGACTCCTGTCCCAATACAAAACCCCCGCCCCCTTCTACAAAATCCCTGCAGCCCCACACACACATTTACAGGCAGACAGTCACACACTCAGTTACAGACAGACAGTCACACACTCAGTTACAGGCAGACAGTCACATACAGTCACAGGCAGACAGTCACACATACACATTTGCTAACTACCATGGGACACTGTGCGGCCACAGCTCACACAGCCCCCTCCAGCCAGGGCCGGTGCAAGGATTTTTGCCGCCCTAGGCAAAAGTAAAGTTTGCCGCCCCCCCCATGTGACATCACAATGCCCCACCCATATGATTTGCCATGTTAACTAACGCCAGTGCTGCAGTGCCGCCGTGTTTACATTAAAAGGCCTGCAGGGATAGACACCCAGAACCACTACATTAAGCTGAAGTGGTTCTGGGGACTATAGTGTTTCTTTAATGTGAGGTAAATTAGAGCTTAGTGCCACGAATAATATACTAGATTGCCTACTTACAACCAGATGAGGGATGATGATGGGCTCTAGCTGCAGTCTGGCTCCACTGGTCTGGTGCAGAACAGGCTCTCTGGAGGCGGTTTGTAACCGTGGTCACAAAAATCAATGTTCTGGGAGAACGGGAAGCAGCTCCATTTTTTGGGGGTCCTTTACACAGCTCAAGGTCCCAGGGTCCACCTTCATGTTCCACCAATGAGTTTGTTCACAGGGGGTGGAGTGTGTAGGGGATGTCCTGATATGTGTGTAAGGAATGCATTGTGTGAAATTGTGTTTGTATGTGTAAGGGCTGCAAGGTGTGCACTTCCTGTTAGTCCGGCCGGGTACAGGAGACAGCTGCTCCCTGTACCCGCGGACTATCAATGCTGCAGGGCTCGGCCACGCTACAGCAAAGGAAGCTGACAGGAGGGAGCGCTGAGCGTTTCCCTCCTGTCAGCCCCCTTTCTCAGGCTGCGCCCGGGCGGTGCGGTCCGCCCTCATGGACGCACCGCCCGAGCAATGCTGCAGCCGCCCGAGGCTTCCTACAGAGCGCTCGGGCGGTTGCAGCATGGGGGGGGCGGCGGGGCTGGTCATGGCACCCCCCATCCTGGTGGCACCCGGGGCGGACCGCCCCCCCCACACCCCCCTTAGTACGCCACTGCACCTGACCATTACACCAACATGGACATTTATGACATCATATACTAAATACATAGACATTAAAGGGACACTATAATCACCAGTACAACTACAGGTTAATGTAGTTGTTCTAAGTGTCTACAGCCTGCCCCTGCAGGCGTTTTCAGATTACGGAGTAGGAACACCTCTAGTGCCAGTCACTCAGATGCAACTAGAGGTGCTCCCTGGGTTATTGCTGCAGAGTGGTCTGCATGTAGACACTGAATGCTCCCCACAGAGATACATTGATTCAATGCATCTCTGAGTAATGCTGATTGGCACATTGGGTTGAGGTCCTTGCTCTGTGTGGGCCAGTCACGTTCTTCCACACCAAACTCATCCAACTAGGTCTTTATGGACCATGCTCTGTGCACTGGGGCAGAATCATGCTGGAATATAAAAAAGGACCTTCCCAAACTGTTCCCACAAAGTTGGAACCACAGCATAATCCAAAAAGTCTTGATATGCAGAAGCATTAAGATTTCCCTTCATTGGAAGTAAGAGGCCTAGCCTAAACACTGAAAAACAGCCCCATACCATTATCCCTTTTCCACCATACTTTACAATTGGCATAATGTCAGTCAGGCAATTAACGTTCTCCTGGTATCTGCCAAACCAAGACTCACCCATCAGACTGTCAAACAAGAAATCGCGATTAGTCACTCCACACAACACGTTTCCATTGCTCCATAGTCCAGTGGTGTTGTGCTTTACACCTCTCATTCAAACACTTGGACTTGTACTTGGTGATGTAAGGCTTGCATGCAGCTGCTCAGCCATGGTAACCCATTCCATGACTCTCTTGCAGGAGTTTTTGTGCGGTTAGTAATGCCAGCAGAAGTTTGGAGCTCTTTAGCTATGGAATTAGCAGAGCGTTGGTGACTTTTATGCACCATGCGCCTCAGCACTCTGTGACCCCACTACGTGACTTTACATGGCATTCTGCTTTGTGATTGAGTTGCTTCTGTTCCTAAATGCGCCCTCTTTCCGATAATATCACTTATAGTTGACTGTGAAATATTTAGCAGGGATCAAATTTCAAGAAACAACTTAATGCAAATGTAGCATCCTATCACAGTACCACATTTGAATTCATGGAGCTCTTCTTCACAAGTGTTTGTAAATGCAGACTGCATGGCTAGGTGCTTGATTTTATACACCTGTTGCAATGGGTCTGATTGAAACACCGGAATTCAATAATTAAGAGGTATGTCTCAATAGTGTATATTGTCAGAAAATAAGCTGTACAATACTAAAGCAAGTTACATAAAGATGTACTAATCATGTAAGCAAATAAACATCAATGTTATATAACATTAACTGTACGAACCTAGTACAGAAATGAATTGATCGAAGAACCAGCTACAGTAAAAAGAAAGAATTCGTGTAAATATAATCACAAGCCCACATTAATGCTTTGGGGAGAGAGATCCTTGGGCACAAAATTGAAAACCAATTCAATTAACTAATAAATGGACTTTTCCATGCAATTTTAAATCAATAAAGATATCTACAATTAAAATAGGCTACAATAATCCTAGAAAAAAAAAAATACAGAAAAAGAAAATAATTTCAAGGACAGGAGAATAAGATTCTTTTGCAAAAAAAAAGAATGCAAAACTGCGATGCTTCCTTTTTTCTATAACATTTGAGAAAATGAATGCACACTATGTATCATTAGAGGAAAGCGTTTAGTGGAAGGACACAAGGTCAGCTCTCCCCCTGCTATGGAAGGAATATTTTTATTCTAACCTTCTAAAACAACAGCTGTATGAAAGAATTGATAACAATGAATTACAGAAAGCTCTTAAATAAAATAAAGTTCCAGTTGTGGATCTGCTATCTATACAAGGCAATTCATCATGAATGACAGATATCCACTAAAATAATACTGAAATCATTTTTACAAAAATTACGAAAGAAATGTAAAATGCAAAAACAACATGAAGAAAATTAAGATTTTAAAATGTAAAATGCATAATTCAACATATTCTATAAGGATTATTAAATTTAGCACAGACAAATTATATTATATTCATATACATACACACATACATATCCTGTTTCCCTGAAGACATGGGCTTATTTTCGGGGGATGCTCCTAACACAAGCCCTAGTCGCTAGTCCGCTAATCTACGATCTGGGAATTTTCCCCGAAACATAGATTTGCAAGATTCCATTCGCAAGTAAATTAATCTACCGTATGTTCGCAAAGTTTTCCACAAACATAGATTCGTGGGATTCCATGACCTAGTGAACTGGTCTATGTTGGGGGGAATCCCCCCCAGCTTTCTAGCACATACTTGCTACAGTTTTTCCCCAATATAAGACATTCACTTAAAATAAGCTCTAGTGCGTTTTTCAGGGCGGGAAAATGCAAATATGAATGCATCTAATATCACCAATACATTCTGTAAATACAAGCAAAAGATGTAGATCGTAGTAAATTTGTCAGAATTCCACTTATGAAGGTAGATAAATGGCCCCCACACTAAAATAATAGGCAAGTAAACACCTCAAACAACTAGAATAAGGCAATCTAAGATTACAATAAGCCAAGATGAAAACCTGTTGATAACCTGACGGCAATCATTAGAGAATAACTTAAGAATGCTGGGGCTGAATTCCTAAAGTTAAAAAAGGAGAAGAGGAGACACCTCAAAGCGGAGTAAAGATGAAAAGATGCTCGAAACTGTGCACTAACATTACTATTCAATTCAGAAAACCAACATAGGCGAACATACCTATCATACTGGTAAACTATTTAACGCATACTCTAGTATATCCTATACACAGCCCAATATCATACCACCAAAATCCTGAATTTGGCCCGGTGTAATTTACCTTTTCTAATGTTCTATCAGTCCTGGCGGGTCTTTTTTCATGATGCTGCCATCTCAGAATTTCTAAGATGGCTGACACCGGAAAACCCATCTTCTGCCTCCCCTAGGACATGCGCATTAAATTAAGCGCAGGTCTACGACATCTTAGAAATTTCTTGACTCTAGAGATGGTACAAGAGTCAACAGAGGATTCATGACTCACCTCGGATGGAAGTTAAGTGACAGTGGAGGGAGGTGAGAAAAGAACTAGAAAGCCAATGACAAAGATGACAAAGGCTGTGGAGCTCGACAAAAGCACCACCTTTTGTCAATTTTTTTCAACCCTGGAAGTTATATAAAAAGGAAAAATAATCGCTTTTTTTCCTTATGCTTACATTTTTGAAATAAGCATGATTTTAAAAAAAGAAAGAAAAGGAGGCAGCCCGGGGGTATGGATTTTATACACGCTGAAACATAAAAAAATAAATAAAGACTGACAGAGCCACTTTAGATTAAACAATGATGAGGACAAAAGCAAATCATTTAAATTAAGAGGCGCATTTTCCATATGGACAAAAAAAAAAAAACATGCAAATGAGAGGTAAATGAAAGAGAGAAGCAGTTAGGTGGGATATGGAGAAAGACACAAGAGGTTATGGATGAACTATGTGGGTGGTACTGCAAGGGCGGCTGACAAACAGAACAGAGAGGAAATGACAGACAAAAAAAAACGAACTGAGAGGAACAGTGTGGGTGACTGACACTATAGGAGGTAGAAAACAAGAGTTGGCTGGCAGAAAAAAAAATAGATTTGGAGTAATAAACTACTACCACACAGATGCTTAGCATGGGTAAATTCAATTTGTATGTATATATAAATAAGAATGCATTATACAAAAAAACATTGCAGACAAATTAAATGTCAAATGATCAACGGAAGAAGGAATTGATGCTCATATCTTTCTGTGTTTTCAGTGTTCTATATTTAAAGCACTGATATATAGACTCTTTCAGGCACAGATTTAAAAACAATAACGGGAGCAGTAAATTTAAGAACAAACTTTTATGAGGTTACCTTGGTAGTACTGTCACTATATTTCAAAGTAAATCGCAGTTGCTTGTAATACATCATTTTTGCCACCACCACCTCAACAATCACTTCTGTAATCTTTTGCTAAGCATTAGAGCAACACACTGAGTTTGATACAGCTGAATCTCAGTGCGGTGTTAAAAAATGAATGCAGGAGAGAAGTGTGGGTGGCACTAATCAGACTTACTGTTCATAATCAAACCATTCAAATGACTCAAGTAGGTTTGCAAGTTTGCATCTCTACCCATAGCCCAAAGCTTAAACACTTATCATTTTCAGCACAGAGAATAATTTTCAGCACCAAGAATAATTCAATGGAGCAAAAGCATAAGACTGCAGATATTCTGATTAGCAATTAATGGCATGTGTTGCCAATGATTAGGTACCAGTGAGACAGTATTAATACACACTATTTCCATTTACTCACATCACTTGGCGAAACAGTTCCAGGTTCCACAGCAGTGCCACTTCCACGTAGTTTCTTTAAAAAAAGAACAGGAAAAAATGATTAGTAACTAATCCTCGTTGGTGCATTATGTTCAATTTCAATTGTAAATAAATCCAAAGAGACTTCTGGTAAAAACATTAAAGAAACACTCCAGGTAGCTAAAATAACGGCCCATTATTCACCCTGTATCATGGTTTATGAATGAAATGTTAGCAAGAAAACTTACAATAATTCCACAGCTTATGTCTCTCTTTAAACAGGAAAAGCACAACCTACTATAAAACACAAATTATGTATAATAAAAAAATAAAAAAAAATAAAAAAAAAACAATGACCGGTACAATATACGAGCTTAAAGTGAAAATGTCATGAAAAATGTAAATTACCTGAAACCGCTCCCATATACATTGAATACAACAAAGATGCATTTAATGTAAAATATATTGATTTACTCACTTTTCCTCTGTTCTAGCTCTTCATGTAACACCCACTTCTGCTCCTCTGGTCTCTTCTTTGATTTGCCATGTTTGGGGACACATTCCCAAGCAGGGCAAATCTCCTCAGTGACGTTGGCATACTGGCTTTGTTGCCATCATCGGAATGGAGTGACATCATGTCACTCTGTTCCTATAATCACTAGCAAGTGCTAGAAGCGCCAGGTAAGGAGTTTCCATAGGAACCACAGCATATGTGCTATGGTTGCGGTGGGTGGTGAACTGGGGACCTTCTATGGGAGGTCTTTTCAGCTATCCCTTGTCAGTCAATGACTTGGCATGCAGAGGCATTGACTAACAGCTGGGAGAAAAACCTACCTTTAAACAGGTTTTTCTCCCCATCTATACTTTTTCTAGAAATTGTATAGATGGGGAAAAAAATTGTACACACATTGTATAGATAGAATCATATGCTTAATCTAAAGGTTGTTTGAGGCATGACAGGTCCCCTTTAAAGAATTGCTCCAAGCATCATAACCACTACAGCACATTGTGTAGTGGTCATTATGCCAGGAGTACCCTGGCCCAATTCCCCGGTAAAGGGACAAACAATTTAGCCAGCCCGAAACCTCCGACACATTACACCACTGGTAGTGTTACAACTTCAGCAGCAAAGGAGTGAATCTCGGTATGTACAGAATTTCAAAGTGACCATCAAGACCATGTTAAATAAATTACATGCTCACGGTGCTTGGATTAGCCCTTTAATTCTGACAAGAACCCACTCCTCAAATTGAAGAATAAATAAATAAATAAAAATTGATAATTACCAGTCTTGCTGCAATAAGATCGTTTTGATATGAAATGCAGGTCCAAGGCAGAATAACTACCATTAATGATGAACACAATGCATGCAAGCAGCACACGTCAGAAAAAATGTACTAAATTCAGTGCAACTCATGGGTGCCAGATGTGCCAACAAACTGGCCCTCTATTCTTAAACCAAGACCTTATAGTCCATAAACAACAAAATAACCTAGCTGTAACTAATTTTATATATATATATACACACACACATACATACATACACACACACATATATATATATACATACACACACACACACACACACACATATATATATATATATACATACACACACACACACACACATATATATATATATATACATACATACACACACACACACAGTCAGGTCCACAAATATTGGGACATCGACACAATTCTAATCTTTTTGGCTTTATACACCAACACAATGGGTTTCAAATTAAACAAACAAGATGTGCTTTAACTGCAGACTTTCAGCTTTAATTTGAGGGTATTTACATCCAAATCAGGTGAACGGTGTAGGAATTACAACAGTTTGTATATGTGCCTCCCACTTTTTAAGGGACCAAAAGTAACAGGACAGATTAACAGTCATAAATCAAACTTTCACTTTTTAATACATGGTTGCAAATCCTTTGCAGTCAATTACAGCCTGAAGTCTGGAACGCATAGACATCACCAGACGCTGGGTTTCATCCCTGGTGATGCTCTGCCAGGCCTCTACTGCAACAGTCTTCAGTTCCTGCTTGTTTTTGGGGCATTTTCCCTTCAGTTTTGTCTTCATCAAGTGAAATGCATGCTCAATCGGATTCAGGTCAGGCGATTGACTTGGCCACTGCATAACATTCCATTTCTTTCCCTAAAAAAACTCTTTGGTTGCTTTTGCAGAATGCTTTGGGTCACTGTCCATCTGCACTGTGAAGCGCCGTCCAATGAGTTCTGAAGCATTTGGCTGAATATGAGCAGATAATATTGCCCGAAACACTTCAGAATTCCTCCTGCTGCTTTTGTCAGCAGTCACATCATCAATAAATACAAGAGAACCAGTTCCATTGGCAGCCATACATGCCCACGCCATGACACTACCACCACCACGCTTCACTGATGAGGTGGTATGGTTTGGACCATGAGCAGTTCCTTTCCTTCTCCATACTCTTCTCTTCCGATCACTCTGGTACAAGTTGATCTTGGTCTCATCTGTCCATAGGATGTTGTTCCAGAACTGTGAAGGCTTTTTTAGATGTTTGGCAAACTCTAATCTGGCCTTCCTGTTTTTGAGGCTCACCAATGGTTTACATCTTGTGGTGAACCCTCTGTATTCAGTCTGGTGAAGTCTTCTCTTGATTGTTGACTTTGACACACATACACCTACCTCCTGGAGAGTGTTCTTGATCTGGCCAAGTGGTGTTTTCTTCACCAGGGAAATAATTATTCGGTCATCCACCACAGTTGTTTTCCGTGGTCTTCCAAGTCTTTTGGCGTTGCTGAGCTCACTGGTGCAGTCTTTCTTTTTAAGGATGTTCCAAACAGTTGATTTGGCCACACCTAATGTTTTTGGTATCTCTCTGATGGGTTTATTTTGTTTTTTCAGCCTAATGATGGCTTGCTTCACTGATAGCGACAGCTCTTTGGATCTCATATTGAGAGTTGACAGCAACAGATTCCAAATGCAAATAGCACACTTGAAATTAACTCTGGACCTTTTATCTGCTCCTTGTAAATGGGATAGTGAGGAAATAACACATGCCTGGCCATGGAACAGCTGAGCAGCCAATTGTCCCATTACTTTTGGTCCCTTGAAAAGTGGGAGGCACATATACAAACTGTTGTAATTCCTACACCGTTCACCTGATTTGGATGTAAATACCCTCAAATTAAAGTTGAAAGTGTGCAGTTAAAGCACATCTTGTTCATTTCATTTCAAATCCATTGTGGTGGTGTATAGAGCCAAAAGATTAGAATTGTGTCGATGTCCCAATATTTATGGACCTGACTGTGTGTGTGTGTGTGTGTGTGTGTGTGTGTGTGTGTGTATCTGTGTGTGTGTATGTATGTATGTATATATATATATATATATATTTACAGCTAGGTTATTTTGTGGTTTATGGACTATATGGTCTTAGTTTAAGAATAGAGGGCCAGTTTGTTGGCACATCTGGCACAAAACATTGCATTGTATCAATGCTATATTATATATATATATATATATATATAAAAACAAGGGGGGTTGGCTGCACTCACCTGAACATGCATAAATGGGGGTGCTGCTGGGGGCCAAATAACACAATACACAAGATCCCGTGCACTCACCTATCCACTAAACAGCAACTTCAATGTTGAAAGATTTTATTAGTTTTTTTTAAAAACACCAAATCTAGGCAAAAATAATGGGGGTTTAGTTACATTATATGATCATACATTGCATAAGCCTGCCACAACGTCAATGTACCCCAATGTACCCTGCCAAAGATGGGGTACATTGACGTTGTGGCAGGCTTATGCAATGTATGATCATATAATGTAACTAAACCCCCATTATTTTTGCCTAGATTAGGTGTTTTTAAAAAAACTAATAAAATCTTTCAACATTGAAGTTGCTGTTTAGTGGATAGGTGAGTGCGCTGGATCTTGTGTATTGTGTTATTTGGCCCCCAGCAGCACCCCATTTATGCATGTTCAGGTGAGTGCAGCCAACCCTTGTTTATATATATATATATATATATATATATATATATATATATATACTTGGGGAGTCTAGCCAACCCTTGGTTGCACCTCCCTGCTCACAGGTGCCTCATCCCAGGGCCCTATTTAGCCTTGTACTGCAGAGAACCCCAGATGGAATTTTTTTTCCTCAAGTAAGTGGTTAATCTCATAAGAGCAGTCATTAGGCTGTTAGTGTAGGACCTGCCAAAGATGGGGTACATTGACGTTGTGGCAGGCTTATGCAATGAATGATCATATAATGTAACTAAACCCCCATTATTTTTGCCTAGATTAGGTGTTTTTAAAAAAACTAATAAAATCTTTCAACATTGAAGTTGCTGTTTAGTGGATAGGTGAGTGCGCTGGATCTTGTGTATTATATATATAAAAACAGTGTTGGCTACCTCCTCCTCCTCCACCGCTGCTTCCACCTACACGGTCACCGCCTCCTCAACCTATGGGTCACTTAGTATAAACTTTGTACATAATAGCAGAGGCTTGTGAAGGCCTTTTCTCCATGCATCAGGAGTTGAGCATTTCTCCATGCATCAGGACTGCAAGAAATGCACCGCAGGCCACATATGTTTCTTTTTTTATATGTCCCAATATTGGGGCTACGCCAATTAAAAAAATAAATATCTATATATAAAAAACAGGGTTGGCTACCTCCTCCTCCACCGCGGCTTCCACCTACACCGCCACGGTCACTGCCTCCTCAACCTATGGGTCACTTAATATAAACTATGTACACAATAGCAGAGGCTTGTGCATGCATCAGGAGTTGAGCTCAGTTTGAACAATGAAAGAGAATACCCTGCACTCCAACCCTCTCTCAAATGGATAATTTTGTTGATCCTCCTGACAGCCATGCTTTAGATTTTGATTTATGTTCTTCAAAGCTAAAATCAAAGATTCCATCTAGTGCTATTTTATGGCTCAGCTGTATTTTTAATTATTATGTTATTTTAAATGATTTCCCTATCCACATTTGTTTGCAGGGCACTTGTCCTACTCTTACCCACATTTTACTTCCTTTTGCAGCCCTCTAGCCCTTTCCAGGAGTTTTTAAGAGGCATTTTTGTGCTCAAAAGTTCGAGTCCCCATTGACTTCAATTGGGTTCGGGGTCAAGTTCGAGCACGAACCTGGTCTTTTTTTTCAAAGTTCGGCCGAACCCGAACATCCAGGTGTCCGCTCAACTCTAGTTACAATAGCTACTTTACAATGTGGCTGCTAGTTATATAGGTTGAAAAATACATCAAGCTCAGCCTATCTCACATTTGTTTATGCTGTTGATCCAAAAGAAGGCAAGAAACAGTATAAAGTGCTCTCCAACTGCAACAAACTAGGAACAATTCATTCTTAACCCCAGAATGGCAGTCAAATATCTCCTTGGATCAAGAAGCTGTTGCCCAAAATCTTAAACATTATGTTTCTGAATATCATGTTTATGCAAGAATTCATGCAGTTGCTGTTTAAACATCTGTACAGAATTTGATAAAACCACCTCTTTAGGTAGAGAATTCCATGCCCTTATTGTTTTACTGTAAGAAAAAAACAAAACTCTCCTTTGCCTTACAGTAAATCTAATTTCTTCCACTCTAAATGGAGAAGCTCATGTCCTCTGCAAAGTCCTGTTTATTAATAGACTTCTAGACAATGTTTTATTTATTGGTGTTGAAGATATTTGTAATGCTATTATACTCCTCTTATGCACTCCTCTTATGCACCATTTAAACTAAACATGTTTAAATTTGTTGACCTATCCTCATAACTTAAATTTTCCATTTCCCTTATTTATTTTGTAAATTTTGTATCCTTCCTCTGTATTTTTTCTAGTTCCAAAATTTGCTTCTTCAGAACAGGTGCCCAGGGCACCAGGAGAGAGCAATATCTTGTAGACTGATATTGTAGAGGATGAGAAGAAGCTGTTGATGATCAACAGTGTCAAAAGCCACAGAAAGGTCAAGGAGAATTAGGATAGAGTAGTGACCACGAGATTTTGCATTGGGTAGATCATTGGATACTTTGGTCAGTGCTGTTTTCACAGAGTGCTTAGCGCAGAAACCAGACTTAAGTGGGTCTAGCAGAGAGTTGGGCTCGAGGAAGTCTGTCAATCTCTCATACACAACTCTTTCAAGGATCTTGGATGCAAAAGGCAAATATAAAAGGTTTCTCTTGCTTCAAACTTTTAACAAAATAAATCACCTGTAATACTACAAATTGGTGATTAGAAATTGGCGCTATGTTTTAATAACTAGAAGGGTGAACCTGCGTCAACCACAAACATCAGGAGCCAAGCAAGAGGAACCTTTTTTTTTTTTTTTACTGAACAATCCAAAAAGGATATTCTTTCTAGAAACAGTTAACAATGATACAATTAGCAACTAGTCTGTAAATTGGTGATTCCAGTTTAGTGTTAAGTGTCAGTGGCTAAGAGGGCAATCCTAAACTAACAGTAAACAACATTGTTACACTAGGATGAATGAAGCAGGCTATCTACTACAAAGTTTGTGTGAGTGCCAACTAGTCAAGATGATTTCTTTTTTTTTTTTGCTTTTTACTAAACAACACATGCTGCCAAAATTATTTTCTTTTTACAATCACTTAACAAAAACAAAAAAAAAACGTATATTGGTAACCGAATCTCACAATAGGATCAATGAAAAAAAGGTAATCTCATATCTCCCACATAAAGTTGTTTCAAGAGCCCCTGACAATAACTAGCTAGATATAGTAGCAAGCTAAATCTAGTCTGTAACAGAACTATGCTGTATGCCTGGGCCAGTGAACTAACCAAAATCAGCAGGAATTCGTCCCATTTAGTGCATTTCAACCATTCGAATGGATTCGCATGAATTCCCTGTGTAAAGTATAGGTGGCCGCCATTTCGGGACTTTACACGTGGCCGCGGCCATCTTACGTGCGAACAGCGGTGTTTGCCTGTCGACGCGTGGAACTAAAATCGGATACGCAAACAGGCGAACACCGCTGAGTCCTCCATACTTCCAGAAGTTCGCACGGAAACTACCGAATCACCGGACGTTCGGTAGTTATGTTCAATCATCTATGGGGATTGCGGCGAACCCCGAGATTCGAATGGATGGCAAGAATTTCAGACCTTTTTACCAGGCGAACGGAGACCGACCGCAAGGCCAAAACTCATGGAACTATTTTCGGCTAGTTGGTCTGTGCGGTTGGTCAAAACTTTGGAACTCTGTATCTCCCGAACTATTCATCCGAATGGGCTGATTTTTGGACATGTTGGTCCCCTGAATGAGAGCTATCAAGCGACCCCGGATTTAAAGCTGTACCCCCTGTTTTTGGGGAACATCCAGAACTGGGGTAAAATGTTGTACGTTTGTAATTATGTTATATGTTATCTGAGGGGAGGAGACGTGGGGGTGTTACCAGGTATATGATTGGGTGTTTTTATCCTCCCCCTGGGAGTATCCTGTGTGTACCTGATCCCAATAAAAGCAGGCTGGGTGTTCCAGTCCTCAGATCTTCTTGACCCTTCAAAACGTAGCCTTGTCTCGTTCTTGGAAGGGGATTATTTGGGAATGTTATTCTGCTCCTGTTACAGCTGAACCTGACTTTTACTCTGGATATCGTGGATAGGATTATACCAGCTTACTTCTCCACAGCAGCTTACAGGGAAAAAGGACGTCTCCAACGGCAGATACCCTCCTTCTACCCGGGTAGCCGTTACATTGGTGGCAGCGGTGGGATGGTCCTTTTATCCAGAGAACAAGTGCTGAATGGAGGCTCAGTACGTCAAGCTGAAAAGACCCACATTAAAGGATTTATTGGAGAGTCGTGGTAGGAGTGCCAGCAACAGACCACGGAGGGAGCTGATAGCTGACCTACTAGAACTGGACGAAATGGATAGGTCCATGGAGGTAACAGAACCTCTTGCACCTGTCAGCGAGGACGATGAAATTTCTGCCATTGTACAGCGGAGATTAGCTTGGTATCCAGAAAGATCCACGGAGCTAATAAACCAGCTGCTCCGGGAAACAAGGGAGGAGATACAAACTAAGAGGGGACAAGAAGCGGAACTGGTAAGAGCTAGACAGCCCATTACACAGGCAGTTCCTACCCCCCACACCCGCTGCTACAGGGAGGAAAATACCGTTCACTGCATTTAAAGCGTTTGTAGAGAATGAAGAAGAAATTGACGGATATTTAGCGGACTTTGAGAGACAATGCTCGCTACACCAAGTACCACCAGACCAATGGGTTACTATTCTGGCTGGAAAGCTCTCAGGAAAAGCAAATGAGGCTTTTCGGGCACTTACTACGGAAGATATAACGCAGTATCAACGGGTGAAAGCTGCACTACTCACCCGATATGCGGTCACCCCAGAAGCATATCGCCGTCGCTTCCGGGAGTCCAAAAAGAAGGCAGTGGACTCCCACATGGAATGGGCAAACAAGATACAACGGGTGGCAACACACTGGGTGCGAGGGTGCAATGCTAACACCGGAGAAGAAATATTACAGTTGTTCCTGATGGAACACTTCTTTCAAGATCTGGCTGCAGATATACAGGACTGGGTCAGAGATCGGCGCCCTGCCAATTTAACTGAGGCAGCGCGACTAGCAGATGAGTATGCAGAGACAAGGAAGGTGAGCCAAAGTAACACACGACCAGCCCCTAGAGCAGAGGCCCGCACTACAACCTACCCTGCACGCACAGAATTTCGGGCCCCAGTACCCCCAGGGCCTCCACGTCCCCAGGGGCATAACAACCATCCCCGGGAATCTTACAAAGTAACGTGCCATCGCTGCGGCAACACAGGACATATTGCCCGGTATTGCCCGTTGGGATCAGCCAATAATAACTGGAGGCGCCCACCTAACACCGAAAGCACACCGCCACGTCCAGCGGCTGCTCACTGCCTAGAAATTGAAGGAAGCCCTGAAGAGTGCCTGGGAATATTATATGAGGCCAACCCCATACAAGCAGCTTCCCCAGATAATCGTCAGCATCACCGTCAGGAGGTGCGTGTGAACGGACAGATAGCACAAGGCCTAAGAGACACTGGCGCTACCATTACCCTAATACAGAAACACCTTGTAAAACCAGAACATGTGTCAAATCGTACCGTGGCTGTTCGTGTCGCAGGGGGAGCTGTTTTTCGCTTGCCCACCGCCAGGATACACTTAGATTGGGGAGCCGGGTCAGGAAAGACCACGGTGGGCATCATGGACAATTTACCCGCCGAGGTCGTATTGGGCAACGATATTGGCCCTCTAGCTTCAGCATTTTTACCCACTACTGCTGGTGCTTGCCCCGTGACCACCCGCTCACAGACCCGTATCGAGGACGATCCTACAACAGGTCGGGAGACACAGGTAAGCCACAAGCAGACACCCCACACTAACATTACAGAGAGACCCATAGCTTGGGACACCCCAGAAGAATTTGGGAGGGAAACTAGGCAGGACCCCACCCTCCAAAAGTACAGGGAACTAGCTGACAGTAGGGGGGACGAGCGAGAACGTTTTGTATGGGAGGGGGACAGGCTATATAGAGTGACCGAAGGCAGGAAGAGAGGCTGTGCCCCCTCGCAGAAGCGCCAATTAGTGGTACCCAGAAAGTACCGGTGGGAGCTTCTCCGAATTGGCCACGACATTCCGTTAGCAGGGCATCTAGGGGGTAACCGCACAACCTTCCGGATCACCCAGACCTTCTTTTGGCCAGGGATCTCGAAAGATGTGCGCCGTTACTGCAGCACTTGTGATGTATGCCAGAGGGTGGGAAAGAGAGGGGATCACCCCAAAGCCCGACTGTTACCCATGCCAGTGATCGAGGAACCATTTAGCAGGGTGGCAGTCGACCTAGTGGGACCCCTACCTAACCCCAGTCCCTCTGGTAAGAAATATATTCTTACTGTAGTAGACTATGCTACTCGCTACCCAGAAGCCGTCGCTCTGACGAATATCCAGGCTGACACTGTCGCCAGTGCTCTAGTTGGGATCTTCACCAGAGTAGGATTTCCCCGGGAAATCCTGTCGGATCGAGGGACCCAGTTCACCGCAGACCTAACTCAGCAGTTATGGAAGGCCTGCGGTGTCCAATCCCTCCTTAGTTCCCCGTACCACCAAACTAACGGTCTCTGTGAACGCTTTAATGGTACCCTAAAGCAACTACTGCGTACCTTTACAGCGGAATACAGGGACTGGGAGCGATTCTTGCCACACCTCTTGTTTGCATATCGAGAGGTGCCGCAAGAATCCACAGGGTTCTCCCCATTCGAATTGCTCTACGGACGGCGGGTACGAGGCCCCCTCGACCTGATCCGAGAGCACTGGGAAGGAGAGACAGAACATGAGGGGGTCCCCATCGTACCATATGTACTGGAGATGCGGGACCGCATGGGGCACCTATCCAGGATGGCCCGAGAGCATCTCCAGGCGGCCCAAGGCCGACAGAAACATTGGTACGATCGGGGCGCGAGATTGAGAACCTTCCAGGTGGGACAGAAAGTCCTAGTACTTAGACCCGTTAAAGGGAACAAATTACAAACCTCCTGGCAAGGCCCTTACAAGGTGGACGCACAGATCTGTGACACCACCTATGTAATTGCCAGTAGCAAGGACGAGAGGATACAGAAGTCCTTCCATATAAACTTACTGAAAGAGTACCAGGAAAGGCCCGAAGACATAGCAGCCATATGTATCCCGGCCACTGAGGACCCGGACAGTCTCCCCATCCCGGATCTACTAGCTAACCCCGAGCCTAAAACCTTGCTGAACACTGTACAGCTAGGGGAGCGACTAACGCCCACCGAAAGAGAGCAACTCCAGCAGATGCTAGCTGCAAAAAGATTGACGTTTTCCCAGGAACCCGGTTACACACCCTTAGCGACACATTACGTAGAGACCCCAGGACAAAACCCTCTCCGACAGACTCCCTATAGAATTCCCGAAGCCGTGAAAGAGGAGATGAGAAAGGAGATTCAGGAAATGTTAAAGCTAGGAGTTATAGAACCCTCCGACAGCCCCTGGGCATCCCCAGTCGTCCTAGTCCCCAAAAAGGACGGAACGACCCGATTTTGTGTCGACTACCGACGCCTTAACGACAGAACTGTGACAGACGCATACCCCATGCCCCGAGTAGACGAACTATTAGATCGTATTGCTAGGGGACGCTATCTGACCACCATCGATTTGTGCAAAGGGTACTGGCAGATCCCCCTGGCCAAGGACGCTATCCCTAAGTCGGCGTTTGTCACCCCGTTTGGCTTGTACCAGTTCAAGGTCATGCCTTTCGGGATGAAAAATGCCCCAGCTACCTTTCAGCGCTTAGTGGACCGCCTCCTTGATGGCTTCCAGGAATTCGCTTGCGCGTACCTGGATGACATTGCGATCTATAGTGAGACATGGGAAGAACACCTACGACACGTAGAGACTGTGCTGGATCAGATTAGGGCCGCCGGCCTAACCCTGAAACCAGAAAAATGTAACTTTGGTATGGCTGAAGTTCAGTACTTGGGACACAGAGTGGGGTGTGGGAAACAACGACCAGAACCCGCCAAGGTAGAGGCCGTAGCGAATTGGCCCACCCCTCATACTAAGACCCAGGTATTAGCCTTCTTGGGAACGGCAGGGTACTACAGAAAATTTGTCCCTGACTACAGCGCCATCGCCAAACCTCTGACCGATTTAACGAAGAAAAATTTACCTAGGGTAGTCCTGTGGTCTCCCGCCTGTGAAGCAGCATTCCAAACCCTGAAACAAGCTCTGATCAACGCACCTGTTTTGTCGGCCCCCGTCCCTAATAAAAGATTTGTCGTCCACACAGATGCGTCCATGTACGGACTGGGGGCAGTGCTAAGCCAGGTCGGAGAAGATGGGGAGAACACCCTGTCGCATACCTGAGTAGAAAGCTATTGCCCAGGGAAGTGAGTTATGCGGCAGTGGAAAAAGAATGTCTAGCCCTGGTCTGGGCCCTAAAGAAGCTCACCCCCTACCTTTATGGTCAGGAATTTACCCTGATCACAGACCATAACCCTCTAGTATGGCTGAACCGAGTGGCTGGGGACAATGGACGACTACTGAGGTGGAGCCTAGCCCTACAACCGTATAATTTCTCCATCCAGTATCGCCCAGGCCGGTTCAATGGGAATGCAGACGGACTGTCCAGGCAAACAGAACTTTTACCTTAGAGGCAGACCGGACAGCCCCAAGTTGACCCGAAAAAGGTCAATCCGGGTCTGCCGGAGTGTTCCACAAAAGGGGAGCAGTGTAACAGAACTATGCTGTATGCCTGGGCCAGTGAACTAACCAAAATCAGCAGGAATTCGTCCCATTTAGTGCATTTCAACCATTCGAATGGATTCGCATGAATTCCCTGTGTAAAGTATAGGTGGCCGCCATTTCGGGACTTTACACGTGGCCGCGGTCATCTTACGTGCGAACAGCGGTGTTTGCCTGTCGACGCGTGGAACTAAAATCGGATACGCAAACAGGCGAACACCGCTGAGTCCTCCATACTTCCAGAAGTTCGCACGGAAACTACCGAATCACCGGACGTTCGGTAGTTATGTTCAATCATCTATGGGGATTGCGGCGAACCCCGAGATTCGAATGGATGGCAAGAATTTCAGACCTTTTTACCAGGCGAACGGAGACCGACCGCAAGGCCAAAACTCATGGAACTATTTTCGGCTAGTTGGTCTGTGCGGTCGGTCAAAACTTTGGAACTCTGTATCTCCCGAACTATTCATCCGAATGGGCTGATTTTTGGACATGTTGGTCCCCTGAATGAGAGCTATCAAGCGACCCCGGATTTAAAGCTGTACCCCCTGTTTTTGGGGAACATCCAGAACTGGGGTAAAATGTTGTACGTTTTAATTATGTTATATGTTATCTGAGGGGAGGAGACGTGGGGGTGTTACCAGGTATATGATTGGGTGTTTTTATCCTCCCCCTGGGAGTATCCTGTGTGTACCTGATCCCAATAAAAGCAGGCTGGGTGTTCCAGTCCTCAGATCTTCTTGACCCTTCAAAACGTAGCCTTGTCTCGTTCTTAGAAGGGGATTATTTGGGAATGTTATTCTGCTCCTGTTACAGCTGAACCTGACTTTTACTCTGGATATCGTGGATAGGATTATACCAGCTTACTTCTCCACAGCAGCTTACAGGGAAAAAGGACGTCTCCAACGGCAGATACCCTCCTTCTACCCGGGTAGCCGTTACATAGTCTTACACTAGAATCACTGACCCAGGCAACCGCACAAGCACAGCAATGGTAAAATCAAAGTCTCTCCCAGTTGCTGCATTCAAAATATATAGAAAAATCCTGTTTGTGAATTATTTTACTGCTCCTAGTTTTTTCACCTCTATTGGTCAGTGGTCAATTGTTCTGTAAATAAAATAATTTATTTAAGATTTACTTGCTGTCCCCTAACAAATCATATTTTTTTTCCTCTCCTGTTGATTGGACAGCTGATACAACCCACTTGATTGGGCATACCTCCTCTCTATCATGGCAAACAAAGCTGCATATTTCCCCAATTTTTTTCTAGTGCTAGGAACGGAACTCTGAATCACAAATGAAAATGAGCATGTTTGGGCTTGTATGATTTGGTTTCCCCCAAGATTTTGGTACATGGCAGCTTGGAAATTAGTTTGGAAATCAATCTGTGCTCGATCAGTTGGAATTTGGCGAAATAACAGTTTGGCCCAAAATTAACCTGCAAATCCACTAATCTTTATTCACAATAAACCCCATCTGAAATGATGTACAGATTCTTGAATACAGGAAAATGTGCCATTG